GCCCTGTGATGACGTCAGCTACGCGGTTTCGTCGAGCGCGCTTTAGTCGAACGCGGTTTTGTGGTGGAACCACTTTTTGCAAATATGAATTGCCTTTGAGAGTAACTCTGTAGTCCTTGCAGCTCATCACTCCTGGGAATCAGGGACTCAACTAATCCGGGCTCTCAAAAATCACGACTCTTCATTGCATGGAAACCTAAATGAGATTTGTTCCAGAACAAGCTCTATGGAAATTACTCTTAGGAGCCCACACAATTAAGCCACTGTGAGATGACACTCAATGTATAGATTCAGAGATTACTCTAATGCCAAGAGATGCAGCTTTCTGGAATTCTCTGTCCTGCCTGCCATAAGCATTTGAAGATCAGGCCAACATGACTGCTGTGTAAAATTGCCAGTATTTTCTAAAGTTCCTATATTGAGTGGTGAGAGTTGTATAATTGAGGAGAAGTCACTGCTTGAGTTGCTAAATTTTTTCTATCTCTGCCAACCTGGCCCTCGGTGGAGAGAGGTTTGCAAGACCTCTTGGGCTCTCCAGAACAGCAGCTTCTAATAACTTGGTATGACCTCAGGCAACAAAGGAGAATGGAATTGTTATACGACTATTTTGCATTAAAATATATGCATAGGTATAGACATAGTGTTATTAATATGCCTGTGCTATATATTACACTATACTTAGTATAATGTATTAGCATATATAGTATAATATGTTAAGGTAGAAGTTAGGAAAATAAGCAAGTGTTAAATTTGTAACAAAAGCCTTTTCTTTAAAACACAGGAAAGATAAAAAGGTCTGTTTGTTGGTGATTTGTATTATTTCTCAATAGACACAAACACCCCCCAACCCCACTTTACTTCAACAGTTATCAACCCCAGGGAGAAAAAGGCCATTAGGTTTGAGGAATTGCAGATAAGGGCCCTTGTGCACGCTTTCCCCCCCTTCTAATCTGAAGCCCTCAACACCTCCACTCTGTTCTAAATCTCAAGGCCAAAGAGTTTGCCTAGCAGATTAAACACTCAAGCTGCGGATTCTATTTGTATGCAAGATAATTGAAAGCAACACAGCATTCCTTCTCACTATTATTGGGCCTCCACCATAACACCTATAGCAGTGTTTCTCAACCTTGNATGAATTATGTTTGTTGACTGTGGAAGAGATGCACAAAAGTCTATTTGTAACCAACTGATACACTTTCTATAGCATGTAAAGAAGGATGTTGTATTTGTTTTAAATTAAAAATTAAAAAAAATTTAAAAAAAGATGCTGAGATTCTCAACTGGAAAGCCAGCAGCCCAGGTTCAAGACTCAAATGCTGTGCAACTGGTGAGCTGCACTTCTTGCCCCAGCTCCTGTCCACCTAGTAGTTTAAAAGCATGCAAATACAAGTAGATTAATAGGTACCACTTCAGTGGGAAGGTAATAGCATTCCATGCACCTTGGCAAATACTGGCCACATGACCACAGAACAAGAATGGCTTCGTTGGCCAAGAAATGGAGATGAGTACCATACTTTAGAGTTAGACACGACTGGACAGGGAAACTTTTATCTTTACCATTATTTATGTCCCATGAGTGATATTTAGTAAATCATATAAAGTATCAAATTTTTCAACATCTTCGAACCTCAAAATAAATGCAAACTGAAATAATTGTAAACAGTGTTTCAGGACTGATTAACTTAGTCTGAATATATTACACCCATCACTTTCATTTATTTGCTAATACTCTGTCTCCTCAAAAAATATCTATATTAATTTGTATTAAGAACTATGGACATACATACATATTTGTGAATAAAATGGTTTGACATTTACTTTTGACTAAGTTCAATCATTTTAAAAATGTCTCTTTCTTTAATTATATAGTAAATAAACCCCTTTAGAATTGATGGAACTTATTTCTAAGCATAGTGGGATACTAGGCTAGAGGGATTCACATTCAAAGATCTAGTGAAATAAGTAGATTTAAGTTAGTTATGGGTTTCTTACTCCTATAGATTTCATTGAAACTATGAATTTAAATATGTTTTAATTCTCAATCTGTTATTAAGATGGTGGTCCAGATTCCTTGTTAAAATGATGTCTCAAAAGTGCAGATAAGAATAAAAGCATTTTATAGGCAGAACTGTATCCTGTAGAGCAGTGGTCTCCCCCTTTCAGGCTTTGCAGTCAGAAAGGTGGAGGGGAAAAGAGGGGATGGTTCCATGTGGGTGGTGGATTAGTCACAATGGAGCTGCATGTATTTACCTGCTCACTGCATGTACAAGTGGAGGGACGTATGCGTGCTCACCCATTACTTCCATGGCCCAGTTCTGAATGACTAAGCCCCACATGACAGAGTAAGCTCCTGTCCTCACCCCAGCTCCTATAAATCTAGCAGTTTGAAAGCATACAAATGCAAGTAGATAAATAGGTATCATTTCAGTGGGAAAGTAGCAGAGCTCTCTGACATCATGTTTGCCACATGGCCGCCAAAATGTCTTTGGACAGCACTTCCTCAATGCCTCTGTTTCAATGCCTTGAAACAGAGATGAGCACCCTCTCCTATAGTCAGCAACTTGCTATTTATTAATGTATTGGTCTAATATTTTAAATAGTCTTTGTAATGTGATCAGAGAAAACTAGTTATTGAACAGATCAGAAATATGTAGTATATTATAAATACATATATCCCACTCAAATGGTATCTTCTCCTTATATATATGTCCTTACACTCTTCCATACACCTGCCCTAGCATTTTATCCATGATGCTACAGCATCGATAATGCTACTGTTTAGATAATATTTCTTACTTCCTTCAATGTTATAAAAAAGTGTGTCCTGACTCTAAAATAAATGTTAAAATGGTAAAATCCTGCCTTGTGATCCAATCAAGGGGGGGAAAAAGAATATTTTAAAATGAATTATTCTCCCACTCATATGTTGAGTTATTTGTTTATCAACACAGTACATCCAGGGGGCACATTATTTCTTCTGTACCATCAAAGTGATGGTGATCTATGTATAAAAGCTTTTCAATATCTGAAGCACATTAAAGGCTGTATTGTTCGTGTCTGCATCTCTTCAAGCAAAAACAACTTTTTACTGCTCAACGTGGATATTTTGATACAAGTTATTTGTTTAGATATTTATCAGGAAAAATAAAGGATCCAGAATTGTTTTTAAAAAGCAAATGGGAAACTTTCCAAGGTAATGGTATTGACAGAGGGACTGACTGCAAAGAGAAGAATATTATCAACTAGTTTGCCGAGGACTTTGTTCCCAGCCCCTGCCATCTCTTCTTAAAAAAAAAAAAAAAAGCAAAGACCACATTATTCTTGTTCTCCAGCAGTGGATTTGACACCTCCTGCACCAGGACTGACTGATGATGATCCATGTCGTTAACACAGTGCCTTTTGTTGCAATAAATGACTCATGGCAGGGATGCTTGCTAAGGGTGACAGATTCCTTTGCAGCCTGTATAGTAAGAAGGCTGGAGCTTTGCTTTTGAAGTTGCTGTCAATGAAATAATTAGGAAAGCAAAGAAAATGTTTATAGATGTGCAGTGGAAAGAAAAAGGAAATTACGATAACAGTTTTGCAGATCAAGATTTGTCTTTCTTTCCCACTGTTATAGTTATATCTAAAAAAAAACCCCCAAACCCAC